ATAAAATATTGCTGAAATGAAATTTAAAACCTCTTCAAGTTATTCGTTTATTTTCCATCCCACCGTTGTGCTTGGATTTGGCACCTGAAGAGTTGTACGAAAATGAAGCTACAATTTAATTGGGATAAAAGGAACTGGAATTTAATAAAACTGAGAGTAAAATTCACCGAAAAATCAACTAAGAAATATTTAATTTTCTAAGCCAAATGAATGCAGAAACATAATATCAAACTAAATAGGCTTACAAGCTTAATATCATTTAACACAAATATAAGGGTTGCAAAGATTTTTCTCGTTTGCCTGAGTGCCTTGAAACTCATTGAAATCTATAAACATGCAATTTAACAATTTAAAACAAATGCTGTTCTGAAAATTATACAATAAAACCACAAGTCTCTGTTGTTTCTCTGGGTATTATTCTCTGGGTATTATTTTGTGTATTACTTTGTTTTCCGTTTTGTTTTTATTTACTTTTTGTACATAAATAAATATGTTTTTGCACTTAAGAAAATAGAAAAAAAAAAAGTGTTTAGATGGGGTGGAATATTCGTTTTAGTTGGCGACTTGAAAGCGTCGCCAGATGCGCTGCAATCGAGAATCGGAGCCGGACTGACCCGTTTGAATTTGCGATCGATCGTTGTGATAGGGTTCGATGAATTGGACCGCAGACTCGGAGTTTCGCTGCTGACTTGCCGACTGCTTTTGGTTGGGCTTCCGCTTCTGGAATCGCTTCTTTTTCTGCGGATGCTTGTGCACACGTCGATGGGTCTTCTTGACCAGGTTCCTCTTCTTCAGTCGGAATTTCTTGGGCCACTGCTTTTTCTGGCTGTGTTTCTGTGCGAGTGGGTTCTCAATGGGCATCTGCTCCTCGACATTGGGCAGTGGCAGGTCCAGACGATCCTCAAGGCCGCGGCCAGTCAAGGTGGTCACTGGCAGCTCCTGCTCCTTCTGGCCCACACTTGCCTGGAAGGAGCGACCCGTGCTGTTCGAGGTGGGCGTGGTCGTTGTCGTCGTCGTGGTCGTGGTGGAGGGCGATCCAGTGGGCGTGGTCGTGGTCGTGGTGCCCGAGGGCTGCGTGATCACAATCACATTGTCACTGGGCGGCTGCTGGAAGAGGCCGCGCATCAGCATGAACTTCTTCATCAGATCCCGCCCAGAACCCACATCCTGGGGCGAAGGACTGCCGCCGGAGGCACTGCGTCCCTGCAGCTTCGGCAGGCGGTACGCTGAAAGGCAGATGATACCATTGGTAAAATAAAAGTTACCCAGATATAATGTTACTTTGTATCTCGTTTCTTTTCAAAATAAAGGACAATTAATAAATTTAATTAACAATATGTATGTATTTTATAAATAAAGGTAAAGATGAAGAAAGTATTTATACATTTTAAAAACTGAGCTCAACAAATTAAAGAAACTATTTTAAAACATTAACTTTCCCTTTAGAATAATGTTTTATTCGTTAAAAAAAAAATTATAAAAAAGTTTTATTTTCTGTAACTCTGGAGTCTCTAAGTAAAATTTAAATTGAGCTGGTAAAGTCTAGTCAGGAAGTGTATCCGAACTCACCGCTCCTTCGGGACTCGCAGTGGCTTAAAAGTGCCAGAAGGACGACTAGAAATGTGTTGAAGTTGTGGGGGATCTGCATGGTGGAAGTGATGGGTGCCCTGGTGGAAGTGTTTGGCCTCCGATCGAAGACCTGCGTTCTTATAGCTCCCAGTGCAATTAAAAATTTCACCCGCCCCAGCACAAAATACAACATACAACATACAGAGAAAAAAAGAGAGTGACACATCTTGCGTGATGAACGGACGACATGCAATTATTGGGCGGCCTAGAACGGAAAGTCGGTGCTGGGGAAAGTATCTCTGGATACGGCCAGACAGACTCAGATCTCTCCGACCACCGGGCAGTAAATCAAATCTAATAAACTCGACAATAAACATGCGTTCGCATAAATCTGCACTGGCCAAAGGGGAAAAACTCGAAGGCAAAGATACTCCGGCTGTATAAATAAATAAACGAACTCATGTCCGCCCGCCCCAAAAAGCACAGCTCTGGTCAAAATAATAATGGCCATACATATAAAAAGGGTTTTTTAGCGAAGTCTAAGACTTAGTGCAAGGAAAAGCGAGCTCTACTTAAAGGAAAAAATATTGTTAATTATTAACTTTATAAAAACCTTATTAACGCTTGCTAGGAAAAGTTCTACGAAAACTTAACCGGTTTTATTTTGTAACACTATAAACCTTTTGAAGATTTAATGGGAAAACACATCAAATACCCTGCTACTGATTTTCAAATCAAACAATACTTTTTTATTCATTTTTGTATTTGTAATATATTTAATAATTTATTTTAATAAATATTACGAGTGCCTGCTTATTTAGTTGTCTAAATATTTCTTTAAAATTATAGTTTATTGTTCATTGGTATCACTATTTAGAGAGGACTTTTAGTGGTTTTAACTGCCTGCACATATTTATTTATGTTACACCACCAGTATCTGTGGCATAATGTGGCCTGCTCGGATAGTGTCGAGTGCGTGAGCCGCACCACCAGGCAAATAACTTTGGCATAATTCACTTAAATCTTTTTGTTTTAATCTTGAAAAGTGTTTCCCACAAAACTCTCGCCAGCACGCACACGCAGAGCTTCTGACAGGCGAAAGATACAAGATACAAAGATACTTGTACTTGTCTACGTGTGCCGGTGCCTGTGCCAGTGGCAGTGCCATTTCCTTTCCATTGGCCCCCAGCTTAAGCACCCGTCTCGGAAAATGTTTTCCGTAATCATCCAGAGTGTTGTGTCAATAGCTAGACGTTCCCTTCAACTTTGTATTTACTATTATCGTTATTATTTCTACTGTAACACTTGTGGTCTAGTGGAAATTCGAGTTGGGGAATCTATTAAAGGGTCAAAAATACAATTGCTCCTCTGCATATTTTTACAAGTTTTCTTACGGGTTGTCAAATGGCATATTATTATGCCATACAATTCTATAAAAAAGCAGACACTTACTTAATTTATCATTAATAAGTTATAATCACTTCAGAATGATTTTAGAAAGACAGAGACATATTTTATACTATGTTTGCGTTAATTCAACATTACTCTCTATTAAGTCGTTAAAGTGCCTGAGTAAGAACCAAACAAAACTGCATTTAAATGGCAAGAAATCATTTAAAAGATTTATTTGTCTTGTGTGCAGGGAAAAAGCTTGAAAGAGCTTACAATAATCAATTAAAATCACTTGCATATTTATTGGTAAATTGTAAAATATGTGTCCTGTTCAATAATTGCAGACGCTATTTGAATACCTTATTCCGAAATGTTGATGGAAAAATTAGAGTTCTGCAAGTCAATCATAATTTTCAATGTCTTTTTTTTGGCATTGCTTAAATTCCATTTATTTTGCCTGACCAATCAATAATTTAAATTGAACGTTGTGTTTTTGGGTGTCTTATTTTCCGAGGAATTCCATCTTCGATTATTATTTTGCTTGCATTTCTGATTAAATATCTTCAAGACTCTACGGCCCTCAGAAGTGGAAGCCAGACGATGTTTGGCATAAAATTCAATTATAGAATTTTCTATTAACTTAAAAGCTTCTTATATTTATTTAATTTGTTATTGTGTCCCAGTGAGGTTTTCGCCTGTGCGAAATGTGGGAGGTGAGTCCACATCCCACATCTATCTGTTATTATTATTGAGCTCTCGACAGTTGAGAGCACAGAATGTTGCCATCAATTAGACACACATTCAGAAGTTGGCCAGGGAAAATGGGGTTGGAAAATTCCTACTATTTGCCATTTTGCCATTTGGCATTTTCTTCATTTCATCCGCAAACATTTGCCAGATAATTTAACAGAACTCTGTCCCCGGCAAAGTCCATATTTTTCACTGATTGAATTGTCTTTACAGCAAATTAAAATTGATCTAGTTAGCGCATCTATTTCGCCGAGTTTTTCCCTCTGACAAAACTTTATTTTCCCGAGCTCATGTAAAATGTTTATGGGTAATAAGCGAAACTCTGCTCGCAAATTGAAAAGTTTTCCTTCCGGCCAATGGAAAAACTTATCAACTTAATATTATTGGGCCAGCGCAGCGATGAGAGCAGTTTCGCGAATAAAGTTATGCATTTTTTCACTCCTTTTCAAACCATCCATACACATGCGTTCAAAAAAGTAGTAGTGGAAAAAAAAACATTTTTAAAAAGGGTTTTTTTTAGTTTTGACAGCTTAAAATTAGATATTTTGTAAACATTTTTTTATTTTGCAAATTTTGCAAATTGTTAGCTAGCAAGTCAATATTTTAACATCCTTGTAGATCAATAATACTCAGTAAATAGTATTTAAAAATTATTTTAAAACTAACACAGCTTGCGTATGGTTCTATAATTTTAAGCACAACTGTTATTTAGAAGAGATTTAGTCATGGCTGATCGGATTGTCGATTAAACATCTCCTGACAACTAGTTTGGCTAGTTTGGATGATTAAGCTGTCAACGCAATCGATTCCAATTAAAGTTGTTGACTCGGCAAAGATTGGATGCTAGAACGTACACAAATGGAATTATAAAACTTATAGGTTTTAAGTTATTCGTATTAAATTCTTTCTTTTATCATGATAAATTTGTTTTCCTAACCTTTAAAGGTATTTAAATTTAAACAATTTGTACACTTTTACACTGGCCTTTGAACATATATGATAAAAGTGAAACGCCTTGGTATCAAAGTCAAATTTTCTGTGTAGGTATTTGAGTTTTAAAATTTTTGCCCCAAAAATCTAGACGTCCATATAAAACGCCTATTATTAAGGCCAAATTGGCACGTAATTTCATCAAAGTGAGTTTAATTTCTTATTGTTTTCAACCGTTTTCCCCAAAAAAAATCAGAGAAACCATGTAATGCAATTTAAATAGTTTATTGGTGTGGAGAAAAAAAAAAGGCCTTAGGTCTAGTGGCTTGTCATCGTGTTGGGCTTGGGTTTGGCGCCGATCAGTTCCTGAGGTACTGCACCCGGCGGATGTTCTGGGCGAGGGACTGCAGGGGGCGTCTCCTGACCACTGGACGTTGTCTGAGTCGCTGGCCGAGCAGGCCGAAACCTGGTGATCCGCCCGCCGAGTGGCCACTGGGGGTGACCTCGCTCTCCTCGTCGGCCACTTCCTGCCCAGTGCCCTCCAGTTCGAACCCGGCCATGTCGTCCTCCTCCATCCGATCCTCCTGCTCCCTGATGCTTGGAGCTGGACCACTGGCCAGCTGGCGGAACATGCGCAGGTTCATGGGCACGTAGCGCACCTCGTTGCCAATGGTGATGGGCACGAGGGGCACTCCGCCGGCCGGCAGACTGTAGCCGCCATTGAGGCCTCCCAATCCTGCATAGCTTTGACCCAGACCATCGCCGCCGTAGAGGGCCGCCTCGTTCCAGCCGAAGAGGTCCGGATAGGAGAGGGCCGGCGAGGAGGCGTCGTCCTGCCGCTTCCGGAAGTACTGCATGGGGTACTGGTAGCCCAGGGGTGCCCGGATGAACTCCGAGGTTCGGGTGCCCGTTGCGGCCGTCGAGGCCGGCACAGCCGTGGCGTTCGTCACTATGTTGTTGGTGTTGTTGTTGCTCACACCACCCGATCCAGAGCCAGTGATCACCACCACTGTGGTGCCGCGTCCCAGGAATCTGCCCTCACCCTGCGCTGATGTATTAAACGGAATAAAACAATATAATAATTACACTGATTCAAAAATTGAATTAAAAAAATGAGAATCAATTAAAATAGAAAATATATCATTTCTAGATTAATTTAAAATCATAATGTTAAATTCAATGCATATTAAATTGTTTGATTAAATTCTAAAATATTTGATTTTAATATAAGATTCAAATTTAAATTCAAATGCTTTTACTTTTAATTAAATTTTTCGGTACTTAGCTTTATGGCAATTGTCAACTAAAATGCTTAAAAAAATTGAATATTTTCATATATAAAATAACCATTAACCGCAATTGCTGAAAACCAAAGCGAAAAATATTTGAATTATTTATAAAACACCTAAATTTACTATACTCAGAAAACATTCAATAACCAAGGTATTTAAAATACCTATGTTTTAGGAATAGTGACCTAGAAAGTATCGGAATGGTTTTAATTTTAGGAAAAATAACCTTAGTCTTAAGGCGTTTTAGTTAGGTTTGACACTTTTAGGTCAGTATTTCTAAAATGTTGGTAGATTTAATACTTTATAGTCCATTCAGGTATTTTGTTGTTTTCCAAGTGCTCGTTTTTCTTACCATTCTGGCTTCGCTGGGCAATCTGGGCGGGGGTCAACCCACTGGTCAGCAGGAGTACCTGCTGCAAGTCCTGCCGGCCATCCTGGGGATCCTCGAGATTCACGTAGAGAGCGCGTGGCTCGGGGATCTCCTGGGGGAGCTTCTCCTCCGGCTCTGGGAAGTCGAATCGACTGGCCAACTCCTTCCAAAGGGCCAGGGGAACCACATAGCTACTGGCCTGCCGCGGCGCTGTCCTGGCCAGGCTAACACCCAAGAGGACAAGGGCCAGGAGTGGCAGCCAGGAATAACTCTTCATTGGAGGCTGCATTCTGCTTTTGCTCCGACTGGTAAGGGAAAACTGTGAGTGGTCCAGCACGATTTGCAGACTTTTATAGCAAATAGCTCCAGTTTTTTAGGGCGGTCCCCTAATGAGCCGCCATTTATCCGCGAGCTTATCACCGATTTTTCGCGATTAAAACCATTAATCTCACTTCGTTTCGACTTGTTCTCGACTCACGGTCCATATCTTTTCTTCTCGGGCCTTATCGGGCTTTTTAACTTGGCTTATTAGTTTGGTAAAGAACTGATGTTAATTACACGTGCCCCGGATAAGCAAAATTAATGGGCCAAGTGGAGCCTTTCTGTAGCAGGCAGATTATTCAATAAGTTTTGGACTCATTTATGTGTGCTTCAGTGAACACAAAAAGCAACAGTTGTCTAAAAAGATTAAGTTTGTCACAATTCAGAAATGCAACTAATTAACTTACATTTAAGGTTAATAAATAATTAGGGTTGCAAACTATATTTAAGCATTCATTATTATTATAAATGCAAGCCAGAAAGCAATATTAATAAAATGTCTTAAATATTAGTTAAATAAAAACAAACAAAATGTTTAGTTCAAATAAAAGAACATTCCAATTTCTCAATATTTGATTAATCAAGCTCTTAAAAATATTTATTTAAGCTATGTGCTTGTGACAAAAACGATTACTTATATTTAAGAGTATGAACGAGAAAACTCTAATCGAGCATATTTGATTTTAAACCGATATTTATTAATATCTTACAATTTTAAGTGTATTAAATTTATTTTGACTCAATTGATGTGCCATTTTATGCAGTAAGTGGGGAACTAAAATATGAATGCGTTTATCTGACTGTTTAGAATTTAATTGAATGGTTGCATGGCATTAAATGCTACTCGTTTTCTCCGCTTTGACAGTCTGACTCAAATGGCTGGCCACATGGGCAGTATTCATTTTAGAGTATATATTTCTTTGAGTTTTTATGTCCGCTTTCATTTAGCTTGATGCAAGACAAATAAATATTCTGTTGCACTTATTTTTCGGGCACTTTCATGCTAGCCAAAACTTGGCACCTCGTCCCGTCTCTTTCTTTTAGTTGGTTGTCTATCTCTTTCGGTATGTTTGCGGCCGTGTGTTTGTGTTTGGCCCAATGTGTCAAAGTCAACTTGGTAAAAAGTTTGCTTTTTATTATTTTGTTGGCACTTTTTGAACTGCTTTTTGGCTGCATCATTTTGTTTTTTTTTTTTTGTGTTGTATTTCCTCTTATTTTTCAGTCTCTTACCTACTTTTCATTTTCTTTTTGGGCCGCTTTTTCTTGGCCAACTATTGCCACTTCTTTTCCAGATGCTCTAGTTATTTTAAGGGCAGTGAAAAATATTATAGTGCTAAAAAAAATATTAAAGTATATATACAAAGTGTTTACTTTAAGTAGTGAACAATATAAAGAGTGTGCTTACTGTAATGTATATTTTAGAACCATTAACTTAAGTTTAAAAAAACAAACTATTAAATATTATTATAACAAATATTTAAGTTAAATAATTTGTTTTACATAGCACAGTATTCACTTTTAAGAGAAAGCACTGTATGCACAACAAAAAATAAGCAGTGGTCGGTTAAGGCAGCTGGACTATGGCGGGCTGAAAATGCAAGGCCATAAGGCGATTTTAGCGATTTTACTTCTGCCCAACGGCTTTTTTCCGGCAATAAAAATTTAAGTCGATTTTATGTAGCAGGTTTTTAGTATGCTTTTTAAGCGGGCTTAAGGGGGGATTTCCGTGGTGTTTCAGCCAAGAACTCTTTGCGAAGTTGCAGTTGCTTTTTAAAATTTTTTATTTGCCAAAATTACACACAAAGTTTCATTTCTCTGGCGATTTTGTTGTCTAAGGTCTGCGAGTCATACGAAAGAGATAGCGAAAGTCAGATGGAAAGAGACAGGCATAAAAAGAGCGAAAGAGAGCGGGACTAAACTGCTCAGAGTTAATGGCATCGTCAAAAAATTGGAAAGGTTTATTTAAATTTCAACTTGTTTCGAAAACGTTTAAAAAGTTTTGCGCTACTAACTGACTGCTGATAACACAAAAATCTCACCCCTTAGCCCTCACCCCATACCCACTTACCCCCTTCCCCAGCCCCCCATCCATCCCCTTAGCCCACTTATTTTCCGACTTCTTTGGCAGCAAAGAAAACTCCCCCGCTCCTTTTTTCCTGTCCTGAGGCCAAGTTAAAACAACTGACAAAAAGTTGTTGCCTCCGAATGGCAACGAATCAAAGGGGAAATTGGGAAATGGAAAAGCTCTGGGAAGAGCAGAACCGTGGGAAGGGGGGCGGGAAAAACCAGAGGGAGGCCGTGACAAAATTAGCACGAAATATTTTATTTCTCAGCCAGACAAGTCGGCAATAAAACGAGAGGATTCAACCGAAATGGTTAATAAATAGGCAGTGATGTAGGGCTTTTGGCTTAGGGATAAGGGTCACATTTTGATTACCTTTAATAAATGTTATTTATAGAATAATATTAGACAAAAAAAAAACACTCCTAAGTTATTTTACCTGTAATTTATAATTTGTGTCAAATTCATAAATAAACTATTTTTATATTAAAAACATCTTCAATAATTTGTATTCGATCAAAATACATGAAAGCCTTAATAATTAATGAAAATTACTTAAGAATGCTCTTAATCAAATAATAATACTTTACTAATAAATATTATTAAAGAAAATTGTTTAAAAATAAGCTAGTACCTTACATGAATTTAAAATTTGTTTCTAAAATAGAAGCACATGGTATTGGACATTAGAAATCGCATTGCCTTCTTGGTGATTTATTCTTTAATTTTCATTGCTGGCTTTTCCCTTTTTCCCTCGATTTCACCGCCCGTTTCCCTCGCTTTTTCTGGCTCGCCAATGAATCTGTCAGTTTTTCAAATATCCCCAATGCCATTGTGCAAAGTTTCGAGTGGCAGCCACTAATATTGACAGCGCACAAATGTAGAACAAGGGGGTGGTGGGTGGTGCCCCAGTGGGTGGTGCCCCAGTGGGCGGTGCCTGCGGGTGGGTGGTGCTCTGGAAACGTGCCTGAGCACGTCTTCTACTTAACTTTGTTAAACACAAATCCTTTGGGCAAAGAGTTGCTCCGTCCTTCTCTTTGGCCCACGCACACGCATTAGTGGGCGGTGGGGGGCGGTAATGGACGGTGGGTGGTGCCCAAGGGGGCCGGGGTCGGTGGACAGACCGGCAGACATAATCGCATAAAGATAAAACAGTTTAACAGTCGCAATGAACAAAAGCAACTGATGGTTTTTGGCCGCAAGAAGACAAGACAGAGCCATTCAATTGACCTCCTGCTGATTTCCACGGGCGGTAATGGGCGGGGGGCGTGGTATTTGGCGGGGACGGCCAAAAAACTCAGTCTATACGAACAAAGATGGCCAACGGCGTTCGTCGCGCAAAAATCTGTCAATTATTTAAATCGCCAGGCAAAAATCTTGGCCAGGTTTTCAGTTCAGCAGGGAAAGCCCTCGGGGTGGTTCCAAAAATGGATATTTATACCTTTGTGTGGTTAATGGAGGGGCACTGCGGAAATATCTTAGTATTGGCAATACAGAGTGTTATTTTCGGAAATAATCTCTTTTTTGGCAGCACTCAAGTTAATATTTGAATCTTTAAATTTCTGTGTATCAAATATATTTAAAATTGATTTCAAGATATAATTAACCAACCAAGTTTAATTTTAAAAAAATATTTATAGAAAGGTTTTAAGCAATTGTGACCTTTAAATATGTATCATTAAAAAACGAAAGTATTATTAACCATAATAAATCTGAGCAATTTTTCATTTGATTTTTTTTTCTGAGTTGCAAGTCATAATAAAAGTGACTTCTAAGCTGAGTTGCTTTAAGTGTATAAAAGCAACTAAGTACACAAATGTTGACTGGGGCAGAAATATCCAGTGTCTGCTGGTAATTAAAATGAATACAAGCACTTTTGCAGGCTTTTTGTGGGATTGGCAGCCCTGGTCCAGCTGCGCTATGGTCAAATGTCGTCTAAGTGGGGTATCGAAATCGAAACCGAAACCGAAAGCACTGAAACTTGGAGTACGAAATGCGCGCAAATTAAAATAATAAATCCGCCAAATTAAGCACGGAACTCGTTAAGGCCGCGCTGTCCGCGGGATAGAAGAAGCTCTTGCTTTTGTATCCTGCTGATGGCGGCTTCTTTTGACGTCGTCATTAGCAGCATTTACACGTCGCTCAGGGATAATAAGTAACAGGGCCAAGTGCGAAAATAAAGAAAGCGGAAGAGCAGACGCAGACGACTGCGAGGACTGACACAAATTAAACTGAAATTAGTTGCAACTCACTTTGCCCTCGCTGCTGCCAAAAGGATGGGGGGTCAACCCCCTGTTTTCCATTGTCGAGCACCGAAAAATAGGGGCGAAGCGGAAGGACCCGATGACTGGTCTAATGAGAAATGTCTGTCGGGGGAAGCTAGGAAAAAAATGCAACAAGACGCACTCAGACATCCTGATGGCAACCCTGGCCGGCAACGAACCACTATCTTGGTAGAGTTGATTTTTTGTTTTGGCAAGATATAAAGTTCGAGCTTAAACTTGCATCCTTTATTGCGTTACAAACAAAGTTTGATGCGCTCCTAAATATATTTCTAAGAAGACCTTATCAAAAGCAATGACAAAAACAAATATAAATGGTTTGGAAATTTTATATTTTCAAGTTTTTTCAATTTTATTGTTAATAATCGTATTTGTTTTTTTTTTTATTTATTTAAAAAAAAAAAAATTAATTCAATATAAGCTTTGTGTATAAATTACTATTTTGTATGCCTACAAGTAGATGTGGTTCTGTATCTTTTATTTAAGCGCTCCCTAGTTTATTAAATAAAAGCAGTATCAAAATTCGTAGTGATTTCCACCTTAATTTAAAGCCTTTTTTCCCCCCAAGTGGCTGACAACTCCTTGATTGACCAACTGGGGGCGCCACACACGCCTGATCGATGTTAATTGACCGAAAATTGTTTTTGCCGTTGACCGCGAGGACGTGGGACTTAAATGCCTTCTGCAGTCGCCGCTTATGACTTGGCCATTGTCCTCGAATGCCGCAAAGCCCCCCTTGGAAAAGCCCCTCCCCCTGAAGTGCCGCCCCTGGCATTCTGCGGCGGATGTTGCTGCTGTTGATGTTGCTGCTGCAGCAGCAGCAGCACTTACTGCAGTTGCAGCTGCGGTTCGCTCGCTCAACTGCCACAGTCAGCGATAAAACCACAAAACAGCAACAGCCATAAGGAGGCGGTTGCAGGGGGCGTGGTTGGAAGGGATGGGAAGAGGGTCTGGGAGGCGTGGCAGTGAGGACAGGGGCGTGCAAGAACAATGAGGTGATAAACTTGCAGGCTCAACGCATGACAACGATACCCACCAGCAACAGCAACAACGGCGGCGACAACGTCACATTTTGATGGCTCCTTGGAGAGATGGCAACCCTCTGCTTGAAGACAGGTACACTTGAAAAAACTAGAGAGTATTTCAATATGTGAGATCATTGCATCTTAAAAATAATTGTAATATTTTTTGTTTATTGTGATATGGTTATACTTTTAGAAAGTAAAGTACTATTTGATTAATTACAAAAAAATCTATTCGCTATGGAATGTTTTTTTAAATACTTGCTGAGTCTGTGAAATTTCATACAACTTTTTCTCCCAGTGAAAGTAAGCAAGCTGGGAAGTGCAGTCATCCTTTCTACGCTCGCTGTGTGCATGCAAACAACAAAGGAAAATCAGCAATAGCAGTTGTTTGGAGGCGATGTCATAGACCGCTCCCTAACCGCCCTCCTCACCATGTCGCCCCCTCCTCGGCACCCCCCTCGACAATTCCTTACCCCCCCACCGCCCCCTCGTACTGGATTTTTTTGCGCTGCTGCTCTTTAACGTGTTTCAAAAGAAAGTTGGTTGACTTTTGAATGACTTTCTTGGCGCGCTTGGCTCGCAGCACTCTTGCTCCTCCCCCTTTCCCCTTTCCCCTTTCCCCTTCCTCCTTGCACTGGCACGCCCCCACCGTCCACCGACGCCGCCACCGTCCCCGTCCCCGTGTTGTTGTTTGTTTTATGTGTTAAGTGCGCTGGGCCCAAGCGCGCAAATTTCTTCGTGTAACTGATGCTGACGTTGACATCGCAGCCCCAAGCGACCCCACCATTTTTACCCTCCGAAAAACCCCATATATAGTATAAACATATATATATACACGCTATATATATCCGAATGCAGCGGGGTGTGTGTGCACAGTCGAGTCGAAAATCTAGTTACAATTAAAGTGACAAGCTGGCAACGCGGAAAACAAAGTCGCTACCGAATTCAAACAAATTGCATTCGCTTTGATCGTGCTCAGGCGAGAGTGATTAAAATAAGGGACGATGGCGAGGGGGGTGGATTGTGAAAGCTGGATAACAGGGGTTAAATACCAATATAGTGACAGAGCTGAATTTAAAAACAGTAGCAAACAAAGGTTAAAGAAGTACGGAGAGTGATTTAAAAACAATGGAACTATCATAAATGGGGTAAAATAAGAAAGGGACCTGCTAAATATATTTATAGGAGCTATTAAATCGCTGTGTTAGTATTGTATAAAATAATATTAAAACTTATATAAATTAATATAGAAAATACTTGATATTTTGGAAACTGAAATTGACTTGGCCAAACTAATACTATTTCCCAAAGACTGACTGTTTTGTGAATCATTTGAACAAAGTTATATAGTTTTGGGCAGTATTAAATATATGTTATTGATTTAAAGCTCTTCCTCCAGCTTATGCAATTCATTGCATACTTTTGAGCAGCTTCCGTTTTTTTGCAGTAAAAATCACACCTTTCAATATCCAAAATGAGGAAGAAATTTCTTAACTATATATTCCGGGTTGATTTCGCCAACTTTTGCATTTTATTTAAGGAGTGACGTCGTGATTCTTTTCAAAAATTTACAAAATAAATAAAGTTTTCATTAATTTCGATTAAAAATGTTATGACATTCCAGCTTTTAAGCAATATTGGCCAGGAATTTGATTAAAAACATAAACCTAGTTTGAATTTTTCCAGACTTTTGGCAGTAAAAATCCAATTTCGTGGGGGTTTTCAGCTCTAACCGAGCTAAAATAAGATACAGGCCACAAACATATTTGGGTACTATTAAAATATATTGTGTGTAACACCTAAATTAAATATAATTAAGCTTTGGAACTGAACTGACTTATTTTCCCGCCCCATAATTGTTTCTAAATGGCGACCTTTTTGTCTTGAATCTACTATTTCGTATGGTATTACAATTCCAGTAAAATCAAACATATTCTTGCTTAAGCTAGCCACTCTAGGCGTCTCTTTCTAGCCCCTCGCTGGCCATCTCTTTCTGTTTGTCGCTGTGGACTGCACTTGTTTTAATTACTGCCCCGTGTTGATTCCCCAGGACCAAAAAGACCAACTCAAAGTGAATTTTCCATTTGGGCTTTCGTTTGTTTGTTGCTTTCATTTGTTGTAGCTTTATTCGGAAGGGGGGTTTCTGGGGCTATCAAGGGCTGAAGCGCTGAGGGGGTCAGAGGTCGTGGGTTAACCCTTAACCCGTGCCAGCAGGCTTTCCCTTAACCCATTCAGTTATTGCCGTCGCGAAGGCGACGTCGTTGTTGCTGCTGCTGTGGTCGATTGATGTTGCTGTTGGGACGTTGGCGGCGCTGTTGCTGCTGTCGGCGATTTTGCTGATGTCGCTGGTTGTTGTTGTTGATGCGTCTCCTGCTGTTGTTGCTGTTGTTGTTGGGGCGACGACGTCTTTGCTGCTGGCGAATCCTGTTGTTGTTGTTGTTGTTGCCGTTGCGGTTGCGACGACGTCGCAGATTGTTGTTGCCATTGCCGTTGCGGCGACGACGTTGCTGCTGCAACTTCTGCTGTTGCTGCTGGCGGCGACGACGTTGTTGCTTCAACTTTTGCTGCTGCTGCTGGGGGCGGCGACGACGCCGACGATTGTTCTGCTGACCCCTGGGATGATTGGGCTGCTGCTCCTGTTGCTGCTCCTCCATCTGGTCCTGATCCTCGTTCTGATCCTCGTTCTGATCCTCAACCTTGTCGCCCATTTGCTGCTCCTGCGCCTGCTGCTCGCCCTCCGACTGATTCTTTTCGGTGGTAGCCTCCATAGCGGGCTCCTCCTTCAAGGGTTTGACCTCGCCCACACGCACATTCTTCACCTGGTCGCAGGGCACATCGCTGTAGATCACCACATTGCCGTAGTTGCACACGATCTGGTCGTTCTGGCGACCCTCGATCGAGCCGATGGAGCCGTTCTTGTCCTCGATCTCGTAGATGCTGCCCGACTTGGTGATGAAGCCGGTGACCTGCAGCGGCTTGCTGCCATTCGACTTGGCTGGCTCGGGCTGAGCCATTTTCCTTGGCGGCGCATTCACTATCATCGGCTTCGTGGGCTTGACCTCCACTTTGGGCGGGGCACTGGTGGAGCTCGTTAGCGGCGCCACCGTTTGACCTTTGACACAGAACGAGAACGGAAAAAAAAGCAGACACACAGTCATGGGTTACTTTCGGGCCAACCAAATCGAGGGCAAAAAAATTTACCGCTCACCAGCGAAAGGTCGCTGAAAAGGGCCGTGGCCCAGAGCAGGACCAGGATCATCCCGAATCCCTTGCCGCACATCATCTTAGCTCTTGTTGGCTTCTCGACTGACTGAATCGCTGTCCAAGCCGCGATCCCGGCTTATATCAACTCTCTGGCTAACGGCACTTCGACCAGAATATCGCTGCTCGGCCTCTTTCGTCTTGGGATTTTTGCATAATTAACTTCGCGGGTTCAAAGCGTGTCATCTGGAGAATGGGGCCAGGGCAACCCATTTTGCCAGGCCGTACACTGGCCAAAAAATATGTATTCTAATACTCAATTGTTGGGACTCAAAGACATTTGATTGAAACAGCTTCTTTTGGATGGGTTTTGAAGCTATACACATGTGATTTAAATGTTTATAGATAATTTATATGTCAAGTTTTTAAAATCCTTCTTTGACAAAAAAAAAAACAAATAAATAATCAATATTTTTTAGTTCTTGACATATCTTAGGTTTAAGTTAAAAATATCTATTAAGGTTTCATGTCTATACAAATTATTATTCAGCTCAATTTAATATTCAATTTATTAAACAATATTTTTAACTGAGATCACATTTGGTTATGACAGTAACATTTTTGTCAGTGATTTAATAATTCAATTAATTTTAAAATTCTTAATCTAAGACCACACATGGTTAGGCCATTACTTTTTTTTTCAGTGAAGTAAGGCCAATCCTATGCCGTCCCACATCCCCTCTTCATCGAGCAGAGTTCAATGGCTCAAACTAATTAGCATTCATATTTCTTTTTCGATTTTCGCCGCTGTCCAAAAATTCTCGTCTCTTTGCGCTTGATTTTCTCATATGTTGATTATGCAAATTGCTTTCTTGGCCAGCAGTTCGCATTTTCAAATTGACCTCAAGCCACAACTGGCCAAAAGCAAAGGAGGTTCAAATATGCAGAAAACAAAAAATCATCATTTCATTTCCTAGGCTGTAAAACTTTGCTTTTATTTATCAAAAATTGTTTAGCCATTTTAATTGCCCTTGTAAAAAATTGGTGTAACTGCGTAAAACTTGTTGGGCACCAAAAAAACCGGTTTGGTGCTGTTTAGGTTTCTATTTCTGGTTGAGTTTAGCGGAAATATTGCACATGTAATAGTAAATCATATTCTTCTTTGTTAAGGTTGTGTTTTTAATAAATAATAAAACGACTTAATCAGCAAAATGCGATGAAAATATTAATCTTAAATAATGCGAAATAGTTTAGGCTCAAAAGAAAGTTTCTCTCTCTTTGTAGAAAATTGTAAGCCCGAAATTAGTTCACGTTTTCAATGATTTTGTTGACGTATGCAATGCTAATGTTTAAAAAAAATAATGCTTAGATTACCAATCAAATTTGTTTGTACTTTCTACTATTTGTCTTGATTTGTTGAACTTAAAACGGAAAAAAGTGCAAAGCCAAAAATTTGGATAGCTTCTTTACGTTTTCTACTCCAATTTTTGATAAATTTGCTTACAAATCTGGGGCAAGCTATGCAAGCTAATTTATAAGTTAAATATATTATTTAAATTTGCATATCAAATGTGGTTAATAATAAGCAACAGATACTTCTCGCTGTGAAATTAATGTCGTATTAATTTCATATTGTTTAACAATTAACTCATTGTTTTTCTCCAAATTTACCAGCAAATAAATCAATTAATGCCTTTTCCATAACATAACATCCAATAAAGTTAAACTTTTTAATACTATAACTTTTTTATTCGTTTAATTTTGGTATGAGAAAAAAAAAACTTTACTATAAAACAAAGAGATATTTCAATTTATTTAATTATTAAGTTGGGGGCCTTAGTTCCTCTGCTTCTGGTAGTAGTTACGCAAGGCATCGGCCAATTCGGTTAAGGCCGATTTCTGGGCCTCCTCCTGCTTGCGCTCCTGCTGCTTCCTCAACTGCTTGCACAGTTTCTTCAACTGCTTGCGCTCTTTCCTCGCCGACCTCTTCTGGCCACTGTCGTCTTCTTCGGAAGAGGACGAGTTATCGCGCTTCTTCCGGCGGCTCAGCTGGGCACATTGTTGCAGCAGTTTTTCGGCCTCATCATCGGGGTTTGGAGTGGTTGTGGTGGTGGTGCTGCCCCCAGCGATACTGAGGGTGGTGCTGGGGGTGGTACTTGGGGCTGGACTTGGGGAGGAGCTGGGGGTGGTACCACCCCCAGTAGTTGCAGTCGCAGCTGTGGTGCTTGTAGAAGATTCTTCCGGCATTGGCGTATTGGTGCTCGTAGCGCTCGTGGTGCTGCTGGGCGTTGTGGCGCTGCTGTCTTGCGGCCTGGCCAGAACCGAGGAGCAACTACTGGCCACCAGCAGCAGGCCGAATATCAATGTGACAGCTCTCATTTTCGTCTGATTGGATTTCCCGCGACACGACAACTAAATGGAGATCGGCGCTGGGCGTTTGCTTATATATAGACGGCACTTAGCGGCTCCAAAAAACCTCCTCACACCCCCTCTTTAAATTAAGGGGCGTCACGATCCGACTGGTTTTTCGGCTGGCCGCTAGAAATAAGGTCTATAAATTCGTCATTATTGCAACATTTTTTTTTTTTTGTTTTCGGGGGTTTTTGGGAGCACCCTACCATACAAGTCCGTAGGTCCATTGATATCTTATTCAATTTAATAATTTGTGCCTTTAAAAATGAAGCCTTTTATTTAAATTAAAATATTTATTTTAATTTCCAGTATTAAATTTTAATATTTTATTTTATTTTTAAATGATTTAATTAATTGATTAAAATGTAAAGCTGATTTTTTTTCTTATAACCTGTTTATATTTAAATTTTTTTATTTATTAAAAATATTTTTAATGTGTTAACAGTGCCGAAACAATTCAGCTTATTCGAAGACGTTTTTTATCAAAGGGCATCGAAGTAAAAAATATACATACCAAGATCGTGTCCAAATATACTGTAAATACATCAAATGTTTTTTGTACGTGTTGTTTGCGCTGGTCATTAGCGTATTCTGAGAATTGGCTGGTTTCATAAACAAATTATTCTCGCCTTATTATATGTACTACATGGCTTCACACACTTATTACATAAATTTATTTAAATATTCCCAATACCCTAACTGGGGGTTTTAATAAAGCAATCTGCAAAGTGCTTTTATTTATTTTACTGCTTTTGTTTGTACTCAATATTATGTCTTTTTATTTGAATTGTTCTATTAACATGTCTATTTCTTACAAGATTTGTTGGTTGTTACTTAATTAATTAATATAAAATGAGTTTATTTTAATAAAACAAAAATTTTGTGCTACAAAAAACAGTACTTTTATAGAAGATTCGAATTCAAATTTCACTAAACAACTATTTAATTTTTTTTCCTAGGGTATACCTCGTTGCGTTCTTGTTTCCTTGGTTTTGGTCTCGATTTTTCTTTGTTTATACATTGGCATATGTGAATAAAACTTTTTTCGCATTGCGGCTCGCTCATAATGCCGCTAATTGTTTATCAATTACACTTGTTAATTGTTTAATGCGACTGCAAAGTGACGCCCGGAGTTGTGGATCGTGGATTGGGGAGGAAGTGGGTGCTGCCAAGGGGAAATGGGTGGAACGAGGGAGGGGGGCAGGGTCAGAGGTCGGGGACTATCGTACAAATTGCAACATTTATCCGCACACCTGATGCCCCAACAACGTTGCCGATTACTTGCTCATTTTTTGCTCGCCGCTTTATTTTTTTGTCTGTTTGCAATTTGTACAAGTAATTGAATAAAAAACGTGCAGCAAAAAACAAGTAATTAAAAAAGGACCTGGCAAAGGAGCAAAAGAAGGCGCCGAGGGGGTGGTGGTGGGTGGTGGGTGGTGGGTGGATGGTTGGCTTTCGGTGGGTGGAATCAGCAGCCACCGCGTAATCCATATGCAGCAATTTAAATGCAACAGAGAGAATATGTTAATTGCGTGTGAAACCGCTGCGCGGAGTCTCATCGCCACTTGCTGTATTTGCTTTTATTTATTACTTATTATAATTATAATTTATTTGCACTCGTATTTATATTATTCAGCTCCTTCAGCTTTTTCGGTTGTTTGTTTTTCATTAGTTGCATTTTATTTTATTCGCGTTGCTCAAGCTGAATAAACAAGCTGTTGCAAATAGTTTTAATACAATTATAAAGTTGTTCATTTGAGTTTATATTAAATAGGTATCAACCCATTTGTATGTGAGTTGAAGGAATGTGTAGACGATTATTTTTAATATACCAAATAGCTGCAGCCAATATGTTAATTCAGTGATTACTATTAAAGATTTATAGAATTTTTTCAAATTTAATTAAAGTTCTATAAAAATAAATGACAAAAAAAACTTCATTTAATATGCACATATATTTGGGTTTAAAATTACTGATTGCTATTCGAATTTTTTATGATTGTTCATTGGACGCCAATTAACAATTTGCTGCCCGCATTACCATCTCGGAATTTTACTGCTGCCAGCTTGGATATCTGATCCACCGACCGAAATTCCAGGAACTCGAAAGTTCCATAACCATTCAAGCACTAGACAATTACCGAGTTGAACTTTGACTCCAGTCGGTGAGGCTATCACTCTTCGGATTCCCTTTTCGCTTGCTGAGGCCCCATTCCTGACATTTACTATGCCCCCCAACTATTTGCAGATGGATCCCCTTCACTGGCCAGAAATTATTATCATAAGCGTTGCAATAATGAGGAGCAGCAGTCAGCAGGCAGCAGGAACTGAACTGAACTGAACTGAACTGAACTGAACTGACAGCGAAGTTGACCCAAACGAAGCCAAGTTGCAAAAGTCTCCAAGTCAAGTGCATTTCCAACTTGCACCCCCTTTTCCTCTTTCAGCATTCCCATTTCCCCCTTGATTTTACCATTTAACTCCGTGCAAGTTCTCGCACATTTCGCATGGTCTGGCCAAATATCACGCATACGCACATTGCGCATACGCCCTGTGCAACTGCTCCTGTGCGCTGTGAATCGCTGAATGCGGCCAGTCCCAAAAATCCGAGGCCCAGTTGGGTCACGTCCCAAAACAACGGGTGCTAAAAATCTTTAGAACAGTTCGCCGAACGGAAAGCCGAGCGGGAAATCCGAAGGACGATTCGCAGGACCAGCGCAGGCGCCGGCAGATGCAGAGACGCCGGCAGAGGAAAACTTAACAGCAGTCTAACAGAGTGGGAACAGTTTTCGCCACACCGCAAAGACCCGCAAAGACACTCAAAGGCTGCGCACCCTTGCCTCACTTACTTTACTTTACTTTACTTTACTTTTCCTTCGGCGATGCGTGTGGCATGTTCAACGGCCCTTGATGATGCAACAACAACAACAAAAACAACAACAACAGCAACAACAAGCTTTCAAATAAGAAAAACACTGCATCTTCAGGTGAATTTTTAGCGAGACAAACCCCCCCGAGTTCCCTGCAAAATGCCAAATGCATTTCAATTGCCTGCATTTCTCGTCGCACTTCATTAAACTCACTGTCGAAATTCGACAGCCAACGAAAGGGTGGTGTCTTAGGGGGTGTGCAGTTCGGCCACGTGACCTTCACACAGCAGAATGTGCGGTGTCGGTGGGGGTGCGTCATCACGTAGCCCCAAGATGAACACAAAGAGGAAAAACACTCATATCTCAGATTCTTCGGCTTAAGTTTTAGCAGAAAATTTCTTTGGAATGGCACGCGTCATTAAAGCTATATGAGAAATGTTGTTTATTTTTAATAAATGGCCAATTGACGTTCACAGCTACAAATTTTAACATTTGTCAAATTTTCACAAAAAAATCAGAAATTTCGACTTAAATAAATTTTTCAAAAAACGTTTTTCAAAACTCGGTTTTTGTGTCAAAACTAAATTATTTGTTTTCAATCGATCAGGGATGGATGGCATAGGTTGCCAGCTGTTCAAAATAGCAATTCTTTTGACTTTGGGTCTTATTTTGGCAAAGTTACAACAAAAAGACTGTTCAGAAATGATTTTGTTTGAAAAATTGCCAAAAATCGCAAAACATACATTAAAAAATGTGGTTTTTGTGTCAAAGCCCTGGGAAATAATGATCAAATGTTGGAATGTCATACACCGTTGAATTCGTAATAAAATTTCCAATCGAATGGCATTAACAGTTAAAATTTTTTCAAATTTTCAAATTTCTGCAAAAAATGATGATGTACCCCCTTACAAAAAAGTCAGAAATTTGGACATAAATAAATTTTTCAAAAAACGTTTTTTAAAACTCGGTTTTTGTGTCAAAACTAAATTATTTGTTTTCAATCGATCAGGGATGGATGGCATAGGTTGCCAGCTGTTCAAAATAGCAATTCTTTTGACTTTGGGTCTTATTTTGGCGAAGTTACAACAAAAAGACTGTTCAGAAATAATTTTGTTTGAAAAATTGCCAAAAATCGCAAAACATACATTAAAAATGTGGTTTTTGTGTCAAAGCCCTGGGAAATAATGATCAAATGTTGGAATGTCATACACCGTTGAATTCGTAATAAAATTTCCAATCGAATGGCATTAACAGTTAAAATTTTTTCAGATTTTCAAATTTCTGCAAAAAATGATGATGTACCCCCTTACAAAAAAGTCAGAAATTTGGACATAAATAAATTTTTCAGAAAACGTTTTTCAAAATTCGGTTTTTTTGTCAAAACTAAATTAATTGTTTTCAATCGATCAGGGATGGATGGCATAGGTTGCCAGCTGTTCAAAATAGCAACTCTTTTGACTTTGGGTCTTATTTTGGCAAAGTTACAACAAAAAGACTGTTCAGAATTAATTTTGTTTGAAAAATCGCCTAAAACCCCAAAAAAAAACATTAAAAACTTGGTTTTTGTGTTAAAGCCCTGGTAAATAATGATCAAATGTTGGAATGTCATACACCGTTGAATTCGTAATAAAATTTCCAATCGAATGGCATTAACAGCTAAAATTTTTTCAGATTTTCAAATTTCTGCAAAAAATGATGATGTACCCCCTTACAAAAAAGTCAAAAATTTGGACATAAATAAATTTTTCAAAAAACCTTTTTCAAAATTCGGTTTTTGTGTCAAAACTAAATTATTTGTTTTCAATCGATCAGGGATGGATGGCATAGGTTGCCAGCTGTTCAAAATAGCAATTTTTTTGACTTTGGGTCTTATTTTGGCAAAGTTACAACAAAAAGACTGTTCAGAAATAATTTTGTTTGAAAAATTGCCAAAAATCGCAAAACATACATTAAAAATGTGGTTTTTGTGTCAAAGCCCTGGGAAATAATGATCAAATGTTGGAATGTCATACACCGTTGAATTCGTAATAAAATTTCCAATCGAATGGCATTAACAGCTAAAATTTTTTCAGATTTTCAAATTTCTGCAAAAAATGATGATGTACCCCCTTACAAAAAAGTCAGAAATTTGGACATAAAT